CCTTCTTGCCACCTGCTGTCCTAGGCTCTGGGAATCAGGTGTCAACTTGCCAAGTGAGGTCCCTGCCCTCGGAGCACTGCCATTCTTTGAAGAGAAACCAATCAAACCCACTCCCACGGACTCGGTTCTGACTCACAGGGTCTTATAAGACCGAGCAGAACTGCCCAGTGGGGTTTTCAAGGCTGGAGACCTTTACAGGAGAAGACAGCCTCATCTTTCTCCTACCGAGTGGCTGGTGGGTTCAAACTGTCAACCTTTCAGCTGAGCACTTAACCACCTGTGTCACTAGGACTCCTTTCTATGGGGGGGAGACAGATATAAACAATTAACAAACAAGGTAATGTAAAAGTACGTTAAGCAGAAGAAAGGAACTAAAGCCCAGCAGAGAGTAATGGGTGAGGGGCAGCCTCCCGAAAGAGGGGACATGTAGTCAGCAGAATCATAGCCCCCAACAATATGTGACCTTACGTGACAAGGGAGTTGTACAGGAGTGACTGCATTAAGCATTTTGAGATCACCCTGGATTATCTAGTGAGCTCAATACCATCACAAGTCTCCTTATAAGAGGAAGGCAGAAGGACAGAGTCAGAGATGTGAAGACAGAAGCAAAGGTCAAAGAGTGAGTGAGCCTTGAAGACGCTGTACTGCTAGCTTAAAGATGGATGATGAGCCACAAGCCAAGATTAACAGTTTTAGAGAAGGTGGAAATGACTAGGAAACAGCTTTCCCTCTAGAACCTCCAGAGGGAACACAGTCCTGCTGACACCCTGACATTAGCCCAGTGACACCACTTTCAAATTTCTGACCTCCAGAACTATGAGACAATAAATAGGCATTGTTTTATGTATGTATTATGTGTTTGGTACAGCAGCAACAGAAAATGAGTACAGACAAGTCAGCCATAGGAAAAACAGCAGGAAGAATGAGCTGGAAGCGCAAGGACAAAGACCCTGCATCTGGAGCCAGGAGGCCAGTGTGGCTAGAGTGAGGTGAATGAGATGGGGTGAGGTAGGAGAGGAGGTACGTCTATTGGTGATGATGTAGAGAAACTGGAGCCCTTCTACACAGATAGTAGGAATGAAGGTACAGCTGATTTGGAAAAGTGTCAGGCAGTTCCTCAAAATGGTAAACCTAGAGCTACCGTCTGACTCAACTATTTCAATCAGGACAACTTATGTTCTCATAAAGACTTGGGCATGGATGTTCACAGCAGCATTTATTCATATGAGCCAAAAAGTACAGATAACCAAAATGTCCACCAAGTGGTGAGCACAGTTGCCTTCCAAAATGTCCATCAACTGAAGAAACAAAATGTGATATACCCACACAGTGGAATAGTATATGGTCATAAAAAGGAATGTGGAATACTGGTGGTGCTGAAGAATAAGCACTGGACTACTAACCACAAGGGTGGCAGTTCACACATACCAGCCACTCCATAGGAGAAAGATGAGACTTTCTGCTCCCATAAGATTTACAGCCTCAGAAATTCTATATGGGGTCAGTATGAGTCAGCACTGACTTGATGGCACCTAACAAAAACAACAACAAAAAGGAATGAGTTATGATACCTGCAACAACATGGATGAATTTTGAAAATACTATACACCAGGTGAAAGCAGCCAGATACAAAAGGCCATATGTATGTGTTGTACGATTCCACAACAGGCAAATCCATAGACACAAGAAGGAAACGAGTGCTTGCCTATAGATAAAGAGGAATGGAAGGTGTGGAGGCTGATGCTAAGGAGTATGGGATTTATTTTAGGGGAAATGAAAATGCTCCAAAATGGTCTGTGCAATAGCTGCACAACTTGTGAATATACTGAAAGCCAATCAATTATATACTTTAAATGACTGAATTGTATGATATGTGAATTATATTTCAATAAAGTTGCTTTTAAAAAGTTATATGTGTGCCTTCTAGATGAATTTCCTAGAAACAGAAGTTGTCTGTCATTTACAATTGAGGGCAAGACCAACATGGAAAAACTAAAGGGCGTTCTAACCACAAAACTTGTTCATTACCCATGACACATTCCAAGTGGTTAAATCACAGATTATCTAATCAAGGAACAGTGCAGCTTTGAAAACCAGATGGGAATATATTCTCATCTATGCCCTGACTCTTTGGAAAATGGGTTCCTAGTGACGCCTCCTGGGAGGGTGAGGACCAAGGGAAAAGTGGCTTACAATCCTGTCTATCCCAGTTGTATTATTCACATAATTTAACCTGGTGCATCTATTACTTTTTCAATGAAAAGTAATTAATAAAAATTCACACCAAAAATAAAATACACACTGGGGGTGGGAGGAACCCACGCACTTAAAAATTGATTAATTCAGTTTGGAAGACAAAGCCATTGCCTAGAGCGCAGAGTTTCCGTTAAAGGTGATACGAAAGTTTAGAATGGACAGCGGTGAAGGTTGGCCAATGTGAGAACCACAAGTAATGTCGTTGAACTGTATATGTAAATTTGTTGAAATGGCAAATGTTTTGTTGTATATATTTGCTCAATTTTTAAAAAGGATACTGTTTGACAAGGGAAAATAACTGTGCTATATTTTAAGTAGAAAAAGAGAAGTTATTAGATAGAATTAACAAAATCATATGATTTTTGGAAAATACAGACATACAAATAAATATGTTTAGGGAAAAAGACAAGAAGGTATAAAGTACCTAAACCCTGGCACATATTTAGGAGCCAATAATGCTATTATTATTATTGTGGTTGTTAAGTGCCTATTGAGTTGGTTTGGACGCATAGCGATCCTGTATAGGGTTTTCAAGGAGCAGTTGGTGAGTTTGAACCACCAACCTTGTAGTCAGTAGTCCAGTGATTATCCTATAGCAATTAGTATTATTAGCACCCAAATATTAAGAATGGTTATCCCTGGGTAGTAGAATTTGAACTAATCTTTTTTCTCCGACAGTACTTTGCAATCAGCATGTATTACTTTTGCTATTGGGTTAAAACAGTAACAATGAACCTCAGCATTACTGGCATACAGGGTCGCTATGGGTCAGAACTGACTTGAAAGCACTTAACAACAACCAGTTCTTTATTGTGGAAGGCTGTCCCATGCATTATAGGATGTTTAATAGATCCCTAGCCTCTACCCACAGCATTTCTCAATTTGTGACAACCCAAAAGGCCTCCAAAGACTGGCAAATGTCCCCTAGTGGGGGCAAATCACTGCCAGCTGAAAACCACTGAGTCAAAATACATATTTCTTGCTCAAACTAGATGGATAACACATTACATGTTCATTTTATGAGTATTATTTCAACTGTACCTATATACTATATATTGTTATATAAATGACATCTTTCATAGTTCAAATTTTTAAGTAAAAAAATACATATATCTTACTTAAGACGGAAAATGGCACCAGTTACACTGATTAAAACAACAACAAGAATGACCCACACTTGCAGATAATACCCACTGGACCTGGCTTCAATGACTGGGTGATCAGAGCTCAACTAGAAGAAGAAAGAAGAAAAAAAGAATAATCTGATACAAATTGATGATCTTGACCTACACCTATGGTTGCAGTAGCTCAAAAAAGGGAACAAATCTTTATAACAAGAATCATTCCCACCCCCTCCATACACAGAGTAGATAGGGATGGGCAACTTGGACATTGGCTACCTAAAATAGGGGGGCTGCAAAGGCAAGAAGTGACAGGCTTCAACCTTTCAAGCCAGAACCTAGATCCAGAGGGTGTTAAGGAAGGTAGAATCTCCACTGAGTAGTATACAATCTGTCTAGGTGGGGCTGATGAAAGGAAATGTAGATAGGTCTCCTGTGATACAATAGTGAATAATTGTTACCATGACTGATTGTGAGGGTTGGAAATGTAAAGGTAGACGTTTTGTAGCAAAGGAGGGGAGTGATTAATTTTGCAAACTAGGAGCAGAGGTCCCTGGGACCATCAAGGGAGAAGAGCGGAGAGTGGGACCCTACCCAGAGAAGCAGTGACACCAGAGATGGAGGCTGAGATGATGACGTGGAGAGATGGAGCTGTTGGTGACTTCAGACCTAGAGAGGGAGAGGGGCTGTGTGCTGTAGGGTATACCCTTTGGTTGTTTGATGATGCATGGAGGGGATCGTAACCATGGCAATGAAACGATATACGATAGGATGAATGTAAAACCAATGTTCACCCATGTAAACTATCACATAATTCACAATAAAACATTTTAAAAAACCACAAAACTAAGAATGTTAATAACGAACACTTCCTTCTTGTGTGCTGTTGAGTTGATTCTGAGGGATCAGGACCCTATAAGACAAAGTAACTTATATGAATATCTAACACTTATGTGTGTAGGTACTTTTTTACTACAATATCTTTATTCCTCACAACAACTTTAAGAAGAAGATATAATTATCCTCTTCTGTTTACAGATGAAGAAACAGGTTCAGAGAGGTTAAGAAACTTGCTCCAAACCACAAGCTGGTAGGTGGCCAAACCTGGACTGCAAATCTCTGCTTAAAAGACACACGCAGTTTATTCCTAGATGCCAAGGTGGCTGGATCATCCCTCAGCCAAACATCAAGGGGAGAGATAGGGGATCCTGGAGTTACAATGTAGGGTCGGTGGAGCCATGTCTCGGGGTTCAAATCTCACTGGGCAGCATTTGACTAAATGAAATAATATATGTAAAGACTAGAACAGGGCCTGGCACACAATAAGTACACATTAATAGTTAATACCTATTCTTATGGGATTAGATTTTCCAGTCAACAACAGCAAAGTATAGGTGGTCATTACTAGAGACAAACTAGGAACCGCTGCCAGCTGAAATCTTAGCGCCAGAGGACCTCAGAGATCATAGAAGACCTTCCGGGAAACCAAACTGAGGTTCAGAGGTGGGACAGGCCCATCCCGAACCTCAGCACACACACACCACCAGCAAACCCACTGGCATCGAGGCGATTCCGAGCCCTCGGATCAAACCCACTGAGCCAGCTTCCCAGGGCCCCACTCACCGAACTGCATCCAGTCCCACTCGCTGAGAGTGTCCATGTTGCGGCACAGGTCATCCAGCACCCAGGAGGGCAGCTGGTAGATGTAGCAGGACATATCCGGGCTCAGATGGACAATCCGCCCGACTGGGAGCAAATGGACCTGACGCGGCCAGACTCTGCTTCTCTACCAGGGGAGGAGCCGTTCCCTCCCGCGGCCATCCGTCCGTCCGGGAAGTGGGCGGGACTGGACGGCGGGCACTACTGCCTCCTAGCGGCCGCGAGAGGCAGGAGACGGTGTATCGAGAGTTAGTAGCCCAAAAGCACACAGGAATTCAGGGGCAGTCGCAGATGCTCTTCGGACTCCGTTTCCAGTGCGTCTGACACGACACCCACATTGTAATACACTCACCAAATACCTCCCAAATGAAAAACCACGATCTATTTTGAATGCTGGACTCCTAATGTGGTGCTGTAGGATCAGGACTGGACTGCGAACCACAAAGTCGGCAGTTCAAACCCACCAGCTGCTCCTTGGAAACCCTATACAGAGCAGCTATGAGTTGGAGCCTACTCAGCGGCACTTAACAACAACAACATCAACCATATTCCAGGAGGTCTGGTGTGACGCTAGGCTACTAACCACAAGGTTTGTGGTTCAAACCCACCAGCCGCTCCTCTGAAACCCTATATACTACAGGGTCACTATGAGTCAAAACCTACTCGACGGCACTTATCAACAACAACCGTATGCCAAAACTGCTAACCGAAGCTCCGGGTTCAACCCACCAATGGCTCAGGAGGAGAAAGATGAGGCTTTCTGCTCCCATGAAGATTTACAGTCTTGGAAACGGTAAAGAGCAGTTCTACTGTCATATAGGGTCACTAAGAGTTAGAATTAAAACGATGGCAGTGGGTGGTGGTGCTCTAAGTGTTGGGATACAACAAAAAGAAAGTCTATAAAAAGTCCATGATCTTATATGACTTAACAATTTAAGTGTATGTGAGGGGAAGACATTAGTAATCAACAATAAAAATGCTGAATAAGCTAATTACATAGTGTGATAGAAGGTAGTAAGTGAGGTAGAAATAACCTAAGGATCCATGAGCACATGTATGGATGAACAAAATGGAACATTACTCAGCCACAAAAGGAAATGAAGTTCTGATACAATGCTATGACATGAACGAACCTTGAACACATACTGACTCCACTGAACATTCTGATCATAGTCTATCAAAGAACACTGACCTAAAGGGGGAAATATAGAACAGATTTTCAAATGATCACAGAATCCAGGCTTTCTGAAGCCATTGTTGTAAAGTACCATGAAGTCGGTTCCATCTCATAGTGACCCCGGCACAGGGTTTCCAAGGCTGTAAATCTTTACGGGAGCAGAACGCCTCATCTTTCTCCCATGGAACCGCTGGTAGTTTCCAACTGCCGACCTTGAGGTTAGCAGCCCGATTTGTAACCACTACGCCACCAGAGCTCCTTTTCTAAGGCCATAGAGACTGGCTAAATCTCTGACACTATTGCCCTGAGATCATCTTTAAACCTAAAATCAAAAAATATTCCCTGGTGGCGGGAGACGCGGGGAGGAATGCAGTGGTTAAAGTGAACAGCAGTAAATGCTGGAAACTGTTGGTGCAAGGAGGGAACTGCAATCATATAATGAAGCAAAGTCTATGATTTGTTGAATGTAAAACCAATCATCTGCTCTGAAAACCTTCACTCAATTCACAATAAAAAGTTTAAAAAAAAAAAAAATTCTCCCCTGAAATCTTATTACAACCACATAGTTGTTGTTGTTGTTAAGTACCATGGAATCACATAGTAGTCTAGCTTAACTAGCTAGACTGCCTTGAGCATTGCACCCTTTAAAGAACTATCTGTATAGGATCAAGTTAACAACAGCAACTTGAAGGATTAATAGGAACCATGGAGGGCAGTGAGGTCATGTTTATGGAAAGAGGAACAACTCAGAAAAGAGAGTGAGAACAGTGAGAATGGCTGCACCACTCAGAATCATGTGACCAGTATCTCCGAATCCTACTCGTACAAATTGTTTAACTTTTGTCCTCAGAGTGCCCAGCTCTCTGGCTCTCTGACTCTCTGGCTCCGCATGCCCACTGTAGTCACCTTGCTCTGTGGGCTGGGAACCCACTGCTCTGTCCATGCCAGTCTCCTGGTTCTGCTGCTTCCAAGACACTGTCTATTCCTGGTTCATCTTTCTTGATGGTAGTGAGATCCTCCGTACTTCTTTCCCTGCCCTCCCTGCCACTGCTATGGAATTGGCTTTTAAACCTAGTGGGTTGGCTAAATTGTCCAGTTCCCTCATCGGGGTTCCACATCCCTTATTTGCATGGTCCCATCCCCACAGGCGTTCCATACACCTTAAATGACATTCTTAGCAGGCTGCTTCCCTTGTGGGCCACAAACACCTAATTTGCATAGTCACATGCAATCATTTTGTGGGAGTCACAAAGGCTATGATTAAGTAATTCACGGCACCACACTGAGACACAAAAAGGGTAAGTAATTGGCCTAACTTCATATAGATACAAAAGTGGTAGAGCTGATAATTGAACCCAAGCAGTTTGGCCCCTTAATCACCATTGCTACAAACTGCCTCTTTATTATAATAACTACCATTTATCTGCCCATAAAATGTGCCAAGAAGTCCCTGGGTGGCACAATGGTTACCATACTCCACTGCTAACTGAAAGGTTGGTAGCTCAAATTCGCCCACAAGGCACTGCAGAGGAAGAGTTGGGTAATCTACCTCCGAAAATCAGTCAGTGGAAGCCCTGCAGAATCAAAATGGTCTGATCCCGTTGTACATGGGGTTGTCATGAATGAGGGGTGAGTGCTGACTAAATGGCGGATAACGACAAAAACAGTGGGATTAATCATTCCCACTATCAGAGTTAGGAGCACCGGAAATTGATTAAATCCAATTATACAGTTTATACAGTGTGCTAAAAAAAAAAAAAAAAAAAGTTGTTGTTTGGTTTCAAGTCGATTCCAACCCATAGCGGCCCTGTATAGGGTTTCCAAGGAGCCGCTGGTGAGCTTGAACCACCAACCTGTGGTTCAAGCCGACAACACAGTACAGCTCATTAACCCACAGCGCCACACCAGCTGCCATTAATATTGTTGAAAGGAGCACTAATTTGGGAGTCTTGTAAGGATTTGAGCCCCAGCTCAGACACTGGCTATTCATCCTTAAGCAAGTTCTGTACTTTTGGCTTTGGGGGTCCTGTCGCACCCAGTTTGCAAGATTGCTGTTTAGCTTAAATGGACCCCAAACTGCACTAGATACACCGAACAGTGCCAAGGCCAGGAAGGATTGCTGTTATGTGAGGCCCCCTTGCAGATGTTGGAAGTGGGGCTTTTCAAGAGAACTCCTGTGCTTTCTGTGTGGTTGAAGGTGGACTTGGAGATGGAGAAATGGTCTCCACAAAGGTCTGAAAGAGACTGAGAGGACAGGCACCTACCTCCCCCCCGGCACAAAGGGGCAAAGGAGAATCTAGAGCCTCTTCCCTCTCCTTCCCACTCTGCTTTCCTCTATCTGCCAAGTCCCTTACCTGCAGCACCAGATCTCCTGCACATACTGCGCTTGCGTCTTTGGAGCGCTCACACCTCAGTGCCACAGGGCCTCTTGCCCTTGATGAGGTTTTCTCACTGCAGAAGGTTCTCATTCAATCTTGGCCAAGGCGGGAGAGCAGGCAAGTCTACGCCGCTCCACTCAGTTGCCTGTGCCCACAGCAAGTTTCCTTCTTGCCCCAGGCTCAGGGCTTGCAATCTGAGTCTTAGGATTCATCCTCAGAAAGGCTTGAGTAGTTCTAGGCCTGGGACACACCTCACATACCACTCTTTAGAACAAGTTCTTCAGAGTAAGGCCTTCATTATTACTAATAAGAGTTGCCACTCACCTACCAAGTACCAGGCATTTAGCTTACATCATCTGTAATCCTCATAAGGACCCTGTAAAACAGGTTTATCAGTCCCATTTTACGGCTGAGAAACTGAGGGTTAAGTCAATTATAACTTGGCCAAGTCAAATTGGCCAATGACAGTCAGGATTAAGCCCAGGATATAACAGGTGCTCTTTCTGCTTTATTATACCACATCACCATACACAATTTCACACACACACACACACACACACACACCAATAATCTTACACAGCTACTTTCTTATTCTAATTAGCTACTTACCATGACCAACAAACACCCACCCTGCAAGAATAAATTAGAAATCCTTATCAAGGCAGGACACAATCAGTTATAAAGCTATCTTATCTTGACCTGTTAATGTTAAAAAAAAAAAAAAAAAAGCCACTGCCATGAAGTCAATTTCAACCCCTGGCAACCCTCTAGGGCAGAGTAAGGAGCTCTGGTAATGCAGTGGGTATGAATTAGGCTGCGAACCTCAAGGTAAACAGTTCGAAACTACCAGCTGTTCCATGAGGGAAAAATGAGACTTTCTGCTCCCATAAAGATTTACAGCCTCAGAAACCCTGTACAGGGTCACTATGAGTCAGAACCGACTCCACAGCACATAACAATAACAAGGACAGAGTAGAACTGCTCCTTAGGGCTTCTAAGACTGCACGTTTTTATGGGTGTTAACAGCCTTATCTTTCTCCAGAGAAGCAGCTGGTAGATTTGAACCACCATCCTTATGGTTACCCGCCCAACACTTAACTCACTATACCACCAGGGTTCCTTTGTTAATGTTTAATTCCCTTGAAATAAAATCACTGCTTTGCAATCCCAGTTGCACATTAAAATTGCCATTTAAAATATACAAGCCTTGGGAGAACAAACAAGATGGTGGATCAGGTGGAAGTGTAGTAAGGAGCTCCATCAGCAACAACACGGAATACAGGACCAAGTAGGCTCAGGGGATGGTCCCAGAACTCTGAACCA